TTTTTAGGGCATCAATATGCAATAGCTATAAGAAATGTATCATGTGCAATATTATATTTTTCACATGAGAGGTTTTGAAGTCATGAATATTATTAATTTACAATTAAAAATAAAAGCTACATATATAAAGAAAATGTCAATTATGTAGAATTATACTATTAAGTAATTATTTGAAGAGAAAATTTTGAAAATATATTTTACAATATCACACTGGTGAAGAAAAATAAAAAACATGCTAAATAATTTAAAGAAAAGATAAATGTGATCGGAGATGATAGAAATGTACCACATCATCTTATTTATTTCTAACATTCTATCTTTATATGTAAATAGATATATTAGTTGTAAGTAAATAATAAATAGAAAATAACTTAATTTTTTTTCAAATTGTTATTCTAAAATTATAATCAGAAGAAGGTCAAAAAAAAGGAAAAGAAAGTGGAAAATTAATCTATTAGGATTGGAAATTAGAAAGATGTGAGTTATGGATGATTATTATTTATTTCTATTAAAGAAGTATGTAAAAAGTTTTTGTCGTAGATGTTCCTGTATTAATAAAAATTATTTTTAACTAACTCAGTAAACTACTTTTACAAAAAAATCAATTAATTTAAACAAGAAAAAAAGGTCAAAAAAGAAAAGATAAATATCACATCACTTTTTTTTTATGTATCTCATTTTCAATAATTAAGAGAAATTAAATAAATTACATTTTTTAGTTTAAATATAATTAATGTGACTAAGGAAAATTTTTTTCTTCATTCTTTTCATTAAATAATTTATTTATTCATTAAAAAATTTTAAAGTACTAAAAAATAATTAATTTATTTTTTATTTAGTCTATGACTATTTTTTAATATGATAAACTATATCATATATATTTAATGGCATCAATATGCAGTAGCTATAAGAAATGTATCATGTGCAATATTATATTTTTCAACTGTGACAAAAATTAAAATATTAATTAGAACATGACAAAAAATTACATAAAAATAAAACTATATAACTTTTCATCTTCATTCATTCACATAATAATAATAATAATAATAATAATAATAATAATAATAATAATAAAAGAAAAAGAAAAAGAGCAAAGAGTTTCTAATGTGTTGATTAGTAG